GTGTTCTAGATCAGGTGATATCCCTTTCGATCCTGAGATCGAGCGTTCTTTTCATAGGCAAAGGAGACTCTATAGACAAATTTTGGCGGGTTCTGAGGAGGACAACGATCGAAGAGATCCTCCCACTAATTCTAGTGATACAGATATTCCTTCAGATTCAGAATCAGAGATGACGGCCCAGAAGAAACTCAGTGATTATTCGCAACCGAAGCTCACAGATTTCCCGCACCTTACTCCTACTCCGGCTCTAGATGGAGTTCAATTTGAGATCAAGCCCCAATTTATCACTATGATAGAGAGGAAGCAGTTCAGCGGAGCTAAGGGTGAAGATCCTAATCTTCACATCGCAGATTTCTGCCAATATTGTAACACCATTAGACAAGTCGAGGTTACGCAGGACTATTGGCATTACAGACTGGGAAACTCTTGCTTTGAATTTCTATAATAAATATTATCCTGCAGAGAGAACAGCGGTGCTAAGAAGTGCTATTCAGAAATTCGCTCAAGAGGCCGACGAAACATTATATGAGGCTTGGGAGAGGTTCAAGGATCTACAGAGAGAGTGCCCCCACCACAATCTAGCACAATGGCAATTGATCCAAGCATTCTATAATGGACTTGGAAAATCTTCTAGATCAGTACTAGATTCGGCAGCTAGTGGGAGGTTTATGAATTTAAATGTGGATGATGCGGGACAGGTTATCGAAGACATGGCAATACACAATTTCCAATATGGGAATCCGAGGGGGTTTGCAAATAAGGGAAAACATAATGTCGATTCCGTATCCTTACTGCTATTTGCCAAAAATTAGATAATCTTAACATCTATTTGCCAAAAATTAGATAATCTTACTACTGCTCCTAACTCTGTAGCTAATGTTTCTACTGTTGCTAACCATTAAGCTTTTTGTGAAAATTGTGGAATCGTAGGTCATTGGGAGCAAGATTGTAGGAGCTCTATGGAACAAGTTAATGCCTTCCAAACCTATAGGCAAAATAACCCATATTCCAATTCCTACAATGCCGGTTATAAAAACCATCCTTATCTTTCGTACCGGAGTACCAATGTACAAAACCCTCCACCTCCACAACAACCACAACAACAACCCCCACCACAGCAAAAATATTATCATCCTAATGCCGGCCAGAAAAGACAAGCATCACCCTCATCATCTCCCGACCCTGCCATAACAGAAATTAGAGCGATGCTAGCTAATATGGAAAAGCACATGGAGAGTAGGGATGCGCAAATTGATTCTATTCTAGCGCATAATAAAATCATGGACAATCAAATTGCACAACTTTCATCTACCCTACAATCCCGTCAGCAGGGAGCTCTACCATCACAACCTATCCATCCTACAGATCATGCTAATGCAATCACTCTAAGGAGTGGTTCACATTATGATGGACCTCCCATGCCAAAGGAAGATGGACCAGTTCCTGATCTAGATTCCTCTATACCAAACGGTAATCTTGCTAGCCTTGCAGGGCTACAAAAAGATACTAACCCTACTAATGTTTCTGTGCAGGGTAAATTGCAGGATAAGGGAGGAGTTGTGCAGAGCCCAGTTATCAAGCTTCCATTCCCTAATAGACAACTGAAGAGTAAGCTTGATAAACCATTCGGTAAGTTTTTAGAGGTTGTGAAAAACCTGCAGGTAACAGTTCCTTTCACTGATTTAATCACTCAAGTACCTGCTTATGCTAAATTCATGAAAGACATTCTGACTAGGAAAAGGGCCTTTAACGAAGTAGAAACTGTAGCTTTCACAGAGGAGTGTAGTGCTTATTTGCAAAATAAATCACCTCCTAAATTAAAGGATCCCGGTAGTTTTTCTATCCCTTGTCACATTGGGAATGTTTTTATTGATAAAGCTTTATGTGATCTGGGCGCTAGTGTCAGTGTCATGCCATCATCTATATATGCTAAATTAAATATGGGGGAATTAAAAATTACTAATATAACTTTGCAAATGGCAGATCGTTCGGTAAAATATCCTTTAGGTATTTTAGAGGACGTACCTGTCAGAGTTGGTAAATTTTTTATTCTTGTCGATTTTGTTGTTTTAGATATGGCAGAGGACACACAAATACCCATTATATTAGGTAGGCCTTTCCTCCACACTCCAGGAGCTATTATTGATGTGAAAAATGGTAAACTGACCCTTTCTGTAGGTGACGATAATGTTACCTTTAATTTAGGGAAGGTTTTGAAAGGGCCTATGTTGGAGGAAAATTGTTGACATATTGATACAATTGATATAATGGACGATATTTGTGTTGATAGCTTGCCACAGGTTCTTGCGAAGGATCCCTTGGAGTAATTTCTCTGCGGGAATTTATCTAGCGACAATGCAAGCATTTGGGGTAATGAGATACAAGATATTGAAAAGGCTCTTTCCTTAGAAGAGTTAAGCCCCAAGGAGACAATGAAGGTAGTAAATTTAGTTCAGGAATCAAAACCTGCAGAGGTCAAGAAACCTGAGCTAAAACCTCTCCCTTCTCATTTAAAATATGTTTTTCTAGATGAGCAGGAACTACACCCCGTGATCATCAATACTGCACTCATTGACCTACAATCTTCCCAACTTCTAGGGGTCCTCAAAACCCATAAGAAGGCTATAGGGTACAGTATTGATGATCTCAAGGGTATTAGCCCTGATTTTTGCATGCACAGGATTCATCTAGAGGAAAATTACAAGCCCTGCATTCAACCCCAACGAAGATTAAATCCAAACATGCAGGAAGTAGTCAAGAAAGAGGTGATGAAATTACTTGATGCAGGTATCATCTATCCTATTTCTGACTCCAAGTGGGTAAGTCCTGTGCAGGTAGTACCGAAGAAGGGTGGGATGACTGTGATAACTAATGATAAAAATGAATTAATTCCCACTAGAACTGTAATAGGGTGGCGTATGTGCATAGACTATCGTAGACTAAATACCGCCACTAAAAAGGATCACTTCCCTCTCCCCTTTATTGACCAAATGCTTGAGAGGTTAGCTAATCACAAATTCTTTTGCTATTTGTACGGGTATTCGGGATTTTTCCAAATTCCGATTCACCCTGAAGATCAGGAAAAGACCACCTTTACATGCCCTTATGGCACTTTTGCATATCGTAGAATGCCCTTTGGTTTATGTAATGCACCTGCTACCTTTCAACGTTGCATGGTGAGCATTTTTTCTGATTTCATAGAGTCTATTATGGAGGTCTTTATGGATGATTTTAGCGTATATAGTTCTTCATTTGATTCATGCTTAATTAATCTTGCTAAAATTTTGAAAAGATGTGAGGAGTGCAACTTAGTACTTAATTGGGAGAAATGTCACTTTATGGTGACAGAGGGAGTAGTCCTTGGTCATATTATATCTGATAAGGGCATACAAGTAGACAAAGCTAAAATATCAGTGATTGAGCAATTACCTCCCCCAGTCAATGTTAAGGGAGTTAGAAGCTTCTTGGGTCATGCGGGGTTTTATCGCCGCTTTATCAAAGATTTTTCTAAAATTGCTAACCACTGACCCAGCTTTTGCTCAAGGATGCCCCATTTATTTTTACTAACGAGTATCTTAAGGCTTTTCACAAGATTAATCAGGCTTTGATATCGGCACCCATCATATGTGCTCCCGATTGGAACCTCCCTTTCGAGATCATGTGTGACGCAAGTGACTTTGCACTAGGAGCCGTGCTCGGACAGAGGAAGGATAAGTTTTTGCATGCTATTTATTATGCTAGAAAAACCTTAGATGAAGCCCAAGTCAACTATGCCACCACAGAAAAAGGAGTTTCTTGCTGTTATTTATGCTTTAGAAAAATTTAGATCATATCTAGTTGGTTCTAAAGTTATTGTTTTTACTGATCATGCAGCATTGAAATACTTGATAGCCAAAGCGGAATCAAAGCCAAGGCTACTCCGTTGGGTTCTCTTACTCCAAGACTTCAACATTGAAATAAAAGATAAAAAGGGAGCAGAGAACATAGTGGCAGACCACTTGTCACGTATCAGGTATGATGAGGGTAAGGATTCTTTACCTATAGATGATTCTTTCCCTGATGACAACCTGTATGCAGTTGTAGAGCATCACCCTTGGTACGCCGATTTTGCTAATTATATAGTGGGTGGTACTCTACCTCCTGACTTGTCCTACCAACAGAAATAGAAATTCCTTTATGATGTTAAACATTATTTTTGGGATGACCCTTTTTTGTTTCGTGAGTGTGCAGATGGATTATTTCGCAGGTGTGTACCCAAATGGGAGGTTCACAGCGTCCTTACCAGTTGTCATACTTCACCATATGGTGGACATCATGGCCCCACTAAAACGGTGACTAAGATTAATGAGTCAGGCTTCTTTTGGCCTACTATGTTTAAAGATGCTAACACTTTTGTGCAGGCTTGTGACTCTTGCCAGAGGACTGGCAACATTTCGCGGAGGCATGAGATGCCCCAAACTGGGATTCTTGAAGTTGAAATATTCGATGTTTGGGGTATCGATTATATGGGGTCGTTCCCATCTTCCAATGGGAATTGTTACATACTTGTAGCCGTCGATTATGTGTCAAAGTGGGTAGAAGCCATAGCTTCACCAACAAATGACTCCAAGGTAGTCATTAAGCTCTTCAAGAAGATCATTTTTCCCAAGTTTGGTGTTCCACGCGCTATTATTAGTGATGGGGGTACCCACTTCCATGAAAGACAATTGGATAACCTCCTCAAGAAGTATGGCGTATATCACATAACAGGGCTTAGTTACCACCCTCAAACTAGTGGTCAATTTGAGGTCTCTAATAGGGAAATCAAGGCGATCCTAGAAAGGGTAGTAGCCAAGTCAAGGAAATATTAGAGCATGAAGCTTGATGACACACTTTGGGCATACCGAACAACATTTAAGACACCGATCGGCACTTCACCTTATAGATTGGTTTATGGTAAGGCATGTCATCTTCCCGTAGAATTGGAGTACAAAGCTTTTTGAGTGATCAAAGAGCTTAATATGGATTCTAAGGCCGCGGGTAAGAAGAGACTCCTCCAACTCAATGAGTTGGATGAGCTTAGATTGTCGGCATATGATAGTGCGCGGATCTACAAGGAGAAGACCAAGAAGTGGCATGATAAGAGGATCTTACCAAGAGAGTTTTCACCGGGCGATAAGGTTCTTCTCTTTCATTCTAGATTGAAGATTTTCCCAGGAAAGTTGAATTCTAGATGGTCTGGTCCCTTCACTGTCACAAAGGTGAACAAATTTGGTTCGGTAGAGTTGGTGAATGACAAAGGTGAAGAATTCAAGGTGAATGGCCAAAGGTTGAAAGTGTACCATGAAGGTGCTACCATTAGAGATGTGGAGGAGACTCTCCTAACTCCACTTCCAACATGAGTTTCAAGGTGGTGAGAAGTTCGTGCGGGACCTAGATAAACCAGCGCTTTGCGGGAGGCAACCCGTATTCCATGCTTTCTAGGCTAGTTTTCCTTTTCCTTAATTTTTCTTTTTTTATTTTTATTTTTATTTTGACTTTTATTTTTTTTAGAAAGGCGAGGAGAGTGGTATTTCACCAGTTTTAAGTGTTGTTGTACAGGTATGCATTTGACAGGTATAAAGACTTAGAAAATTTTTGAAGAAGAAACGAAATCGGAGAATAAGGCTCTTTCGGAGAAAATTTTAGAAATGTCGGGCGAAGCTCGCCCGATCGGGCGAGAAAATGGCAAAAATTCGTTCGCGTTCGCGCCTGATCAGGCGGAGCTCGCCCGGTCGAGCGCGCAACTTGAGTTTTGGATGTTCGCACTTTCGCCCGATCAGGCGAGGCTCGCCCGATCGGGCGCGCCATCAGGCCGACCCCCCTTTATTTTCTTTTCTCTTCTTTCTTTCCTCATTTACTCCTTATTTCATCTTCTTCATTCACTTTCTCTCTCTAAAACCTCCATTTTCAAACCTTAAACTTACACTTCAATCCAAGATCTTCTCCAATTCTTCCATCCAAAATCAAAATTTTTTACATATTCCATCTCCCCTCACCTTCCTCTACACTCTATACTAATTTTCCCCAATTTTCTCTCAACTTTTCCCAAACCCTAAGAGAGAAAAACCTCAAATTTTCTACTATTTTCAAAGATAATGGCCTCTAAGCGTTCAAGAAATCAAAGGGGTGAGAGCTCTAGTGCACCACAACCAACAATCAACCCGGACCTTCAAATTCTGGGATGGGAGGAGGTTGTAATCACCTCGGAGGAGAAACGGGTTCGGATGATCAACCTCATCGATCGTCAGGTAATTTCTACCCGTTTCATTCATCATCCTACTTTAGCTAGGCTAGGTCTTGATAAATACGTAGCAAAATTGTTTAAGGGCATATGCATGAGTGGTTTGTTTCAAATGTGCCATGATACTTATGATTATTTAACATTGGAATTTATATCAAGTTTTAATGTTATCAAAATGAATGCACTTATCACTCATGTCCAATTTCGATTGTTAAACAACGATGTGAGACTAACTTTAAAAGAATTTGGTAAGTTGTTTGACTTGAAATCGGACAAGACTATTGAACCCTCTCAAGACCACACCGCCGTGGTCTATAAGAGGTTAACAGGGGAGGATTTGGTGAACCTCCAACATGCCAAAGGGACGTGGATTCAACATCCCGTCCCCAAACTTTGGCAAAGATTTGTCGGCCTCACCATTTTTGGGAGGCATGAACCGGCAAATGTTCGGAGGGATGAATTGGAATTATTGGCTTCCTATATAATTCCTAATGCTGAAAAATTAAACATACCGCATAGGATAGCCAATCATTTCCAAAGGGCGGCCAACGCGTCCGAGGGTAGTAGGTCTAGAGATCCTATTTACTTTGGGGGGTTAGTGACCCATATAGCTAGGAAACACTTAGGTTGGAACCCCGATGGCCATAGGAAAGTTGTGGGATCGAACCTAATGGACCTACCCTATTTAGGGAGCTTGAATTGGGTACAACCGGTGGGGAGTGATACTTGGTGGTTTGTCCACCGACAATCGGGTAGGAGGGACCAAGCCTTTACCTTACCTAACCCCGCCTTGACCAAATTTGAGAGGGGGAAGCCCTCCTACACTTTCGAGTTAGATGGTCAAGGTGAGGTTCAACCACCTCACCCCTCACCACAACCTCACCAATCCCCCATTCACCAGTCCCCCATTCACCACTCACCCCAATACCAACCACCCCCACCTTTCACCTACGGCATGCCAACTTCCTCGGTTGATTACAATGTCGACCCAAATGCCCCATATGACTTTTCGGCTTTTAGGAGCCAACTAGACCGCATTGAGACGGGGCAAGGAAGGGTAGAGGGCATGATGCAAAACCTAAACTCTAGGTTAAGCACCCTATATGGGAGGGTTGGTCTTATTGAGAGGAATCTTGGGAGGGGCCTTTACCCAATGTATGATGATTATGCCCGTCGGGGGGCTATTCCTCCCGATTCCCTTACTCCCGATTGGTTCCAATACCCCCAAGGTGGGTATTCTCACCCCGATGCTTATGGTACTTATGTGGACTACTCTTCGGTCCACAGATATGGGGGTATGGGTGGGAATGTAGAACCTAACTACTATGCCGGTGGCTCGGGGTATGGTGGTGGTGGCTCTAGCCATGGAGGTGCCGGCTCTAGCCACGGTGGGGGGTACTCTAGGATGGATGAGGATGAAGATTAGGCTACTCTCCCAAGTCAATGAGGGCATTGCTTGGTTTGGCTTTGGGGGGGTGTTCTTTCACTTGGAAATTCTCTTCCTTTTCTCTCTTTATTTGCTTTCTAGTATAGTTTTTATTTGCTTTCCTAGTGTAGTTTTTTATTGCTTTCTTATATTTGAAAATACAAAAAAATTGATAAAAATAAAAAATTCAAAAATACGTTCCAATGAATTGTAAATCATACTTCCCTGTGCCCCATACTTGAGAAAATTGTTTTAATTCTTGGTATTTGATGATGAATATTGTGGATTTGTTGGTCATGATTTGAAGTCTATTTGTTTGGATTCCTAAACTTGCGTCAATATTTCCCAACTACTTGTGAATATAGTGCTTGACTAGTTGATTTGGTTAGGAAATGTGTGATAGTTCCATAATTCCTGGTATGTCAATGAGTTTGAGTATTGATTTGCAACTATGAGTAGTGTTTCATGGCTTTTTATTATGCACATGAGGAGGACGAAGGCATTCATTCTTTTAGGTAGCCTTCAGAGTATTTAGATACATTTGTTCCCTTCTTGTCACCCATGTTGTTGCTTGTGCCCTTTTATTTTTTATAGCCACATTACAAGCCTTAATTGCCCCATTGGTTACTAGTCCCAAGCTTGGCTTGGGTGAGCTATTAGTGAGTGAGGTGAGGGAGTTTGTAGTGTGCACATTATTTGCACAATTTGGGTGGGTTTTGAGAAGTAATTTGTTCTTGATCATATTTTTGTTTTTATGAGTTTAAAAGTTGTATATATTTGAGAAAAGTAAAAGTGTGATGAAAAAAAAAAGAAGTTCAAAGAAAAAAAAGTGAGAAATTTGAAAAAAAGAAAGTGAACTTCTAAGAAAAAAGAGGAAAAAATGCTTGATGTTCAAATGTTCTAAGTGAAGGTTAATTAAAAGAAAGAAAAAAAAAGTTGAGTTTCAATGTAAATATTTCAAGTTATGAGCTTAAAGTTTGTTATTCACTCTTGTTCTACATTATCATATTTTTTATGAGTGAAATTGTGAGTGTTGGGATTGTTATATTGTTTGGAGTATATTTGGTGTTTTGTTGTTTGGAGTTGGTTATGTTGGAGATGTGTATGATCATTATTTTTGGTCATGGATTTATTAGGATTTGGCTCCCTTAATTCATAGCTTTTCTCTCACATAATCCCAAATTTATCCTACCTTTACCTTAGCCCTACATTACAAGCTTAAAAGACCTTCCGACCTTGTGCATAGAAGTTATGTAAATGTGAAAGTGTTGTTTTTCAATGCAAGTTATGACTTGACATATTTTGAGTCGACTAGTAGGATGAGCGTTCAATGTTTTTATACACACGAGAGTGTGAGTTGGGAGGGCATTGTTCACATTAAAGGGGTTGGGTGGAGAGCGATCGAGTACATTCTTTACTCGCCACATAAATGAGAGTCGAGTGCGTGAGCACTAGTCTTGAATTCTATATGCTCTTGTGGTTTGCTCTACTTGACAATTGTTGGGGAGGAAGGGTGATTAGATGAATAAGATTGATTGATGTTGAAGCATGTTTGTTTAATTTTACCTTGAATCGTTGGCTTTTGATTTGTTTATTGGGGTGAAGTATGTTTTATATGTTCATTGATGAGCTCTTTGCTTAGGGACAAGCAAAGGTTTGGCTTGGGGGAGTTTGATATGTCTATTTTATATAGTGTTTTACCCCCGTCCCTTGGTCATAATTAGTAGTGTTTTTGGCCCATTAGGGCCACTTTTATTACTAATATGTGTTTTCTAGTGTTTTCGTAGTTTTCGTTAAGTTTTGCAGGGAATTGCACCTTTGGAGCATTTTCCCGGGATTTTTATGCAGCGACTACGAGCATTGGAGGAACACGACCACTTTTGGAGCCCAAGGCCGGCTAGAGCCATCGAGCCGGTGATTAAGGGCTCGGTTATTTGGATCACGAGGCAATTGGACCATGTATTCGAGACCCGAGAGGAAATATGGAATGGGCCGAGAAATATAGCCCAATCGAAGTCCAAGCCTTGAAGATGAAGACTGGGCCCGATCGGGCAAGCATACGCCCGATCGGGCGGCTGCGCGCATGAAGGCTATCAAGAAAAGGCGCGCCCGATCGGGTGAGCGTAGGCTCGATCGGGCGCGGCACTTTAGACTGGGCATAGGAAAAAGGCAGGCCCGATCGGGCGCCCTTCGCTCGATCGGGCGCGTGTTTTTCCTAGTGTCTGATTTAATTTAGTTAATTCTTGTTTTAGGAGAAGTATATAAACGTTTTGTACGGATTATTTACTCGCCTTCTTTCTCTTAGACTTTCTCTCTCTACTTAGTATTTTTCTCTCTCCTAAATTCACTCTAACTCTTGTTCTTAATTCCTTCATTAATTCCAGATTTAGTTTGGTACAATTTCTTCCCTTTTAATTTCAGCTATTTTAATTGCTTTCTTGATAATGTTCTTATTTATTTATTTGTTTGGTTTAATTATGATGATTAGTGAGTAGTTTAATTCTAGGGTTTATGGGGATCCATAATTAATATGAAGGGATAGTTTGTTATTATTGATTGTTGATATTGCATGATAATTTCCTATTGAATTGTTTCAATTCATTGCAATTAGATTATGAATCGAGCAGGTGTAATTTGATTGTGAATGTTTAGCAATGTTAAATTGATGAATCGAGCAGATGTTGATTTAATAT